CTATGGTACATTTGTGAAATTTATGTAATTTATGAAAATGGTTTGTACACACACAAAAAAGTATGCCCCATGAGATTTGTCATTTGTTATATACCAAATACAGCTCTACTTGGGTGTGTCATAGGATTCCCACAAATGTACTTTGCAGAACTCCAGAGAAGAGTTATTAGTAATATCTATTTATTACATCACATCAAAATCCATCTCCCTCAAATGTGATCTTCCAATTCCCTTAAATGAATTCCATTCACATTCTGTATTTGAAGGAGATCAAATTATGGCAGGCAGTGGAAATCTGCTTTCCATTATACCTAGGTAGATGTCTTAGCAACATATTTTTTCAATTTATGCACAAAAAGAATGCAAAGGCTCTACTATTCAGAATCCTCCACCTATATAATTCATTAGTAATAGCCGAGGCATCAGGAAAATGATCAGAATGGTAAATATAGCCTATAGAACAAGAACTGAGTGGTAATTGTATTGAAGTATACTTATATTGAATCACGAAGTGGTACTCTATCACACTGTAGCTTCAAATGATCAAGATGGAATCTTTAGGTAGAGCTTGACAAGAACTGAGTGGTAATTGTATTGAAGTATACTTATATTGAATCACTAAGTGGTACTCTATCACACTGTAGCTTCAAATGATCAAGATGGAATCTTTAGGTAGAGCTTGTTCATCATCGATTTCCCTTCTCTGCAGAAAACGAATCCAGAGTTCTCTCTCAACATCAGTTAAGGTTAGCACCAGATCTGAGAGAGATACTTAAGAGTATTATTCTCTAACTCGGAGGCACTGGCACGGAGATCACATGACTGCATCTCTCCATAGAACTGTAATTCACTTATAAGTACTTTTCCATCTGTTATGATTCACCCCATTTTCACTTATTATCTGTTTTGACCCATATTCTTTTTCCTTGTGATTGGGCTTTCTGGCTCAGTAGATGTATTATGGCCAGAAAAAACAGCAGCCTTGTTAACATTTCTCTTTGGCAGATACTGTAGATCTGACAGATAAAGAATCAGAGGACACTTTTCTCTGTGTTTACAGGTAAGCCTTAATTTGCCTACTGGTAGGCAAAGGGGTGGTTATGCATACACCTAAAGCCTTTAAGAGTATGCACTGTAAAGTTTAATGGCATTAATATTGTGGTTTGTGCATTGACAATACTTCCTTTTGGTTCATACAACTTTAAACTCAGGCCTGGGACCACCAGATCAGGCAAAACAAGAGAAAAATTTTATGAAATTGGAAAGACACATAGTTGTACTTGAATCCTCTCCCATCATCTCATTACTATCTCCCAATCCTAGAAGACTTAACAGCAGAGTCCTGGCAATCCTTCCTTTCATAGTCAATGTTAGTACAAAATCATTTAACTCATTAAGCTAACCTTTAAACCTGTATTGTTTTTCTAATGATCAATTTAGTTATTTTGCAGACAAACACGTCTTTCAAGAAACAGAAGTTTTCCCAGTGATGGGTAAAACTGGTCTCAGGCTTTTTCTCCAATATCATCTCTTTTTTTCTCTCTCTTATCAACCAGATATATCCTCCTAAAAGCAGTCCAAAAGATAAGGACTCTTCCCCTAGAGTAAATACCATTAGTGAGTTTTTGATTGTTTGTTTTTGCCATGAGGTCTATAATTAACATGTTTATGAGAAGTTTATATGAGTTCTTCTTTCTTTCAAGGTAGCATACCCTAGTTACTGGAAAAAATAGATTGCAGACCTGCTGTTTGGCCTTTTTGTTGCCATTATTATGTAACTTTCTAATAAATGACATCTCTTATGTCCTTGAGAACCAATATTCTTCATTGTGGAAGAAAGAAAGACCAAATGGAATTATATTAGTCCTTATATAGTACTGAATTTAATTTCAAAATATTATGAACTCATGAGATATTAGATATACATAAATGCATATAATACATATAATTTCACACTAAAAGAAACCAAGGCTTCTTGAAGAAAAAGATACTCTAGGTCTGGTACAGAAAATGTACAAGATAACCCATATCTTCATAGCAACACTATTTATTATAATGCCAAATTGGAAATTACCTACATGTCATCAATAGTAGAATGGACAATTAAATTGTGGTATATTCCTACAACAAAACACAACGAGAATGAACACACTATTGCTTTGTTAAATAATATGGATGACTCTCATAAGCATAATACTGAGCCTATGAAGACAGATACTATAGAGAATATACTATATGATTCCATCTATATAAAATTCAAAAACAGGAACAACTAATCTATGGTTTTAGGTGTCAGGAGAGCTGTTACCTTTGGGAGAGCAAGTATTGACTAGGATGATGTTAGGAATACTCTGTTTCTATATTGGGTATTGATTATATAGGTATAGTCACTTTGTGAAAATTCATCATGTTGTACACTTGGTATTTGTGCACTTTTATGTATTTATGCTATACTTCAATAAAAGGTTACTTAAAAACAAAATGAGGCAGATCTATACTTATTGTCATGGAAAAACATCTCCAAGACACAATGATGATTTGCAAGTTGCAAATCAATACACAGAGTAAAATAGCATTCATGTTATAATAAAAACCCATAAAGCAATCATGGTATTTCTATATGTACATATACACATACAAAAACATGACCTTGGAAGATGATCAATTATCACTTATGTGCGTATTTCTGGGAAAGGGAGCGGTTGGCAGGAAAAGGGAGGATAGAAAACACATGGTATCTTTCCTTTAACTCTAAAATTTTAACATTTTAAAACAAGAATGTTTTTATGTAATACTCATACAGTGAAAAACAAATATTTCTTTTTTTTTTTTTTTTTTGTCTTTTTCCGTGTCCGGCAACGGATCGCAACCCTCAGTGTCGCCCCCGTACCGGACCGGGACCGGCAACGGGATCGCAACCCTCGGCGTTGCCCCCGCGCCTCGCTCAGCCAGTGAGCGGGAACCGGTCTGTATGTGGGATCCGAACCCTCGGCGGGAGCGCCACCGCGCTTCCCAAGCAGCGCACTGTAGCAGTGCGCCACTGGGCCGGCCCCGAAAAACAAATATTTCTAAATGGCTGGACTGTTCTTACATCCAAGGAGCAACTGGTTCGTTAAATAAGTCTAAAAACCAGTAGAAATTCCTTTAAACACTATGATGATAATGAAAAAATTTCAGGAGATCATTGACACCTGTAAGACAACAAAGTTATATAACATAATTATCGGAAATAAATTTTTATACATCCGTGTGGAATCAACCCTTTTCTGTTATAAAACAATTCCACAGAAAAATGTGCCACAAAATTTTACTGATCCTCCTCCCTGCCACGGAAAGCTCTTACTGTCCCATTTGTTGCTTAAATAATATTCTATTTTAAATGATGGTGGGGGGGGGTTGGAAACCTGTATCACATCATTTATATGTTTTTATGTCTTTAGAAGGACTGTGCCACTCAATAAACCTTTCTTTAATACTGTTCTCAAGAATAACTTTCAACTTTGCACACCTATAGGTAATCAACAGAAACCATGTGCTGTAAATGTTAAAATTATTAAAATCTGATCTATACTTTTGTTATTGAGATGCTGAGGACAAATTAGCTCAGTTTTATACTTTACCCAAAGGTTTAATACAGCTAATTCACCATCTCTAACCTCTACATAGAGGAACATACAGAAATGAAAGGACACACAATATTAGTTACATACTATTGTAAAGGTGGCAAGGTCAAATTCAATGGCTTTGTCTTTCCAATGAGGCAGGTCTCTCTGGGTCCTAATTCAATCCATTAACTGGTAGTAAAGAGGACAGTATGTGTACCTTCCATGAGGAGTCATGTGAATTTCGTTACAGAACTATGCAACCTTAGAAAAGAGGGAGTGAGAGACAGAGAGCAAGAGAGCATACTCTGTACAGATTCACATGAAAACTCCTATGACAAATATATTTATAGTGAGAACTTTAATTATGAGAGTTGCTCAGCAACATTTCTCAGAAATGAGAACATAACACCCCCTCGATCCTCATTTTAATAGCTAAGGAGATCAACAGCAGGTTCTCTGAATAAGGCTTTCCACTAAACATAACTCTGCAAGTTTAACAAAAAGCGAGTAGCTTGGTATTCACCAAGGAGAAATATTATGGGATCTATACTCTTTCCTTTGAATGCTGTTTAAAATGTGAATTTATCTGTAAAGTCTTTCACAGCTTGAGACCTCATTATTTCAGAGATCAACAAGGTAAACACTCTCAAATGAGGTACATGATTTAGGCTTTGGGAACCCAGAGACTCCAGGGCATTTTCTGTAACAGGTTCGTGAAATAAATATATTGGGTTTAAACCCCATGGTTTCTTGAAAATGTATATAATTATAAAAATTCGAGATAAATTAAATGTGTTCATATATAATATTCATATTTGAATCAAGTTACCACCTGCCTGCTGTGCCTAACTGATCAAATAATATTCTCTCAAACATGATTTTCTCACCATTCCCAACAAAAACCTACTACCCTGTTTATTTCTGATAACACAAACAAAATCAATCATTCTATTTTAGCATTATTCAAATATGTTAAAAAATGCAAGGAAAATATCAAGTGTTGTGCCAAATACATATTTTAAGAAGCTTTCAAACCCCTCCCCCCAAAAAAACCCCACAAAATAAAAAACAAAAACTATTTCCTGTTTCTTACAAATCTGAATTCCAAATCCTATAAAAAGAACTTAAATCAAAGGACCATAATTACAATATCAGTTTTAGAGCCAGTTATATATTCAAAATAAGAAGCTCACTATTAATCATTTTGACAAATGGTCAAAAGCCCATTTTGAAACTTCCCCTTCTTTACCTGAGGTGCTTACTCAATTTCTTCAGCTTGTGACTCCACACTTTCATATTCTAAATCATTCTTCCTTTTTCAGTGTAACTGCTTATTAGTGAACTGAGGTTATCTATTTGGTAACAGACAGCTCCCCTGAAAGACTGGCTACATACCAAAAGCTGCCACTTTGATGATCATCGCCTGAATATTAGATGATATCATCTCTCGAAGCAAATCTTCCTGGTTTCTCTGCCAAAGGTAAGCTAAAGGCTGGAGATTAAGCCTTTTACACCTATTAAAAAAAAATCAGATAATATCTTAATGTAGCATACTTGAATCCATAGCAATTACTTTGATTTTAAACATAATGTTTCTTTCAAAGATTTTAGCATTTAAAACATTTTAAAAAATGTTTTGCATAATGAAGTTTATATATACAACATAAGCATATTTAATTTTCATGGGCTATGCATAAACAGATAAAAATGGAATCTCCAGGCAGACTAAAAATACTAATTTTAGTAAGACTCTAGGTTAAGAAATATATGTAAAAGAGCTTACAAATGCCAGTGGATAATTATTCTTGTTTTAATAACTTCCGTGGGTATCAACATTGTGAAGAATATGCAAAAAAGGCAAATAAATTTATCCTAATAAAATAACCATATATAGATTAAATTTATAATATGTATGGCTGTGTGACCAATTCTTATCTACTAACTTTGAAATATTTATTAAAAATTTGAGTGAAGATAAAATAATAAGAACAAAGAGTATAATTTATTGAGTACCTAGTATGCGACAGGCATTGTACTAGAGACTTCACATTACTGGCACAGCAGAAAGAATATGAGTTTTGGAGTCAAGAAAAATCTAGGTTTGAAACCTCATTCGCACACTAGCTGCATGGCTTTGGCAAGTCAAATAAACTCTAAGTCCTTGTCCTTAGGTTCCTAATTCATTAACAGGGGCAAAAAAAATATTTCCTTTCAAAGTTTGTGAGAAGACTAAAAGATTAGTAAGTGAAGTCATCATTTTCTTTTCTTCACATATCACATTCAACCTACCACAATGCAGAATTTGATCATTCCTCACCAATACCACTGACACCTTGTCTAAGCCACCCTTACCTCTCATGTCAATATCCTAATTTCCTTTTCTGTTTCCAAACTTGCCCTTTTAAAATCCATTTGCAAGCAGCCAATGTGATCCTTTCAAAACATAGAACAGATCAAAACCCTCGAGTAGCTCCCGATGACTCCAGTTAGAAATCCTTATAATAAACCTACATGGATTTTACCCTGGTTAGTTCTCATACCTCATTTCTTATTACTCTCTCCATACTCCATCCTGCCACCCCTCGCCTGCTCACTCTTGCCTAATATACTAGCTGTGTTACCTACCTTCTTCACTTGCTCCACACCTTTGCTCAAATGTCATTTTCCCAGGAAGGACTGTAATCGATTAATCAATTACAAGTAATACAGATAAAGAACATAATACAATGTCTGGATAAAACAAGTATCCAATAAATGGTAGTCAAAGCCAAGTGACTGGTACAACTCACATAGTTAGTAGATGAGACCAGATTTCAAAATAAGAACATAGCTTCAAAACCTTTCATCCCTAGTGTCCATAAGGTTTATGACTCTAAAACTTATCATTCCTAGTACCTGTAATGTTGCCTGACTGACTATTCTGGCCTACCCTGATCTCCCTCTCAGAGAATTCCAGTACTTATGAAATATAAGACATTTCTGGTCATTTACTCATACATGGCCTTTAAAAATCATTATTTTGTTATGTATAATACCCTGACTTTCAAAGAAACCAAAATCTTTCTTACCGCAGAGACTGTTTCATGAAATTTTCCTTTTTAAAATGTCTCAGAGCATCTAAAGCAATGCTGAGACAGCTAATAAGTAGAAAAATAATAAAATTTAAACTACTTATGTAACACAAGCATTACAGTTCTTGCTGTCCTCTTACCAGTGGATTAATGCCTTGTAATCCAACAGGTCTTTCTACTATTTTTAGCTAAGATTTTTTAGTGAAAAAACTTTATTCTTTCTGTCCTTATTACAAAATCCTTAGTTATTGCTTTGAAATTCACAAACTTTTGACTATTTTTAGACTTAAGTCAAACTTCTTAACCTATTTAAATTCTTTAACAGTTCAACATATTATGGTAAATCACTTTTGCATTTGAGCTTGTGACATCTATTAAACACTTTATACCTTGAAAATATGATGTAACACAAACAATGTATTGGGGATAAGCTAATTCAAAGCTGAGTTGTAGATCAATGGACTCCTAGTAATACCACTTAAAAATTTTCAAAAGTAAAATTATTGCAGATACGCTTATGGTCATCTGGTCATCTTAAACCATGTGTTGAAGTGTTGCTGAGTCTGTGTTTTGAGAAAGTCTTGCATGTATCCATGGGTATGCAATGGAGATAGACACACACACACACACACACACACACACACGCCAGCCTCCTAATCAAAAGCACATTTTCATTTGTCTCTTTAACTTTCATAAATAGATGTCAGCCCTATCTCTAATTTGACTACCCATTAAACCATGTCCATGTTGGTTTAAACTTATTAAAAAACAGTAATTTTCAAATAATTATCAGAGAATATGACCTAAAATTGATGTGAATAATATTATTTCTAACATATGGATTAAGGAAAATGCAATGCACCTCCATCTGTACATCAGTTGTTCTCAAATGTAGTATGCAAAATGTAAGGAAAATTTTTTTGAAGTACACATGCTTGACCTCCTCCCCCACTTCTACCTCCATCTTCTGCTGTCCAGAGATTCTGATATACCCCTAAAGTGTGAGATCATTATATTTCCTTTCACTTAACTATGCTTTACATTACTTTCCATTTATTTGTTTTTAAAAATTCTGTATTTTTTAAACTGCCTTAAATGCACTGTAGAATTAGATAGAAAATAAATAAAACTTAAAGTTTACAAGTGCATTAATATGCACTTTTTTTTTTTTTTTTTTTTTTTTTTTCCGTGTCTGGCAACGGATCGCAACCCTCAGTGTTGCCCCCGTACCGGACCGGGGACCGGCAACGGGATTGCAACCCTCGGTGTTGCTCCCACGCCTCGCTCAGCCAGTGAGCGGGAACCGGTCCGCGATCCCG